TTAATAGTGATTCCTCTTTCCCTCTCCAAATCCATGTTATCGAGAAACTGATCCTTCATCTCTCGCTGCTGCACCGTGCCAGTAACCTGAAGCAACTTATCCGCCAACGTGGATTTTCCGTGGTCGATATGCGCAATGATGCTGAAGTTTCTTATATTACGCACCGGCACCTGAAACCAAAACCGAACCGATTCAAACCGAATTAGCGTGTATTGTAGCTTCGAACGAGGGCAATTTAGTGAATATACCTTAGAGAGACGATCCTCGCCGGCTCTGGCGGCGGATTCGAGGTCGGCGCTCGCGACCTGACACGCGACGCCGCGGCGAAACGTGGAGGCATTTGGAAAGACGGAACAGAAGCAGCGTTTGGATGAGTAGAATCTGGTGGTGCTTCTTCTCGTTCTGCTTCGTTGAGTGTGGAAGAACGCGCGTTGGTGTTGGTGTTGGTGTCGTTGTTGCAGTTGAGTTTTAACGGATAAGAATAGAGACGCGCCACAAATTTCTGCGGCCATTGAAATTGTGACTCTATTGCACCGTTGCCAAAATGAAACATGAGGCTTTCAACTTATTTTTGTGAATGTGCGCGCGATGGGACCCGCTTAATTCATATTGGGTTGGGCTGGGCTCGATCTGTTTTGAACAAAGCTGTTAATCTGGGCTCGGTCCAAAATGTATGGGCCAATACGACCCGATTTTGCCTGACCGAACCGGGATATTTCTTTGAGGACAGTTCTATTTGCACTTTTATCTTTTCCTTTTGGAACTCCTATCATATTTAATATATATTGGATAATATTATATATTATTCCCAGAAATTAATTTTCAACATGTATTATTGGATAAACTTTTTATTTTATTAGTTCCTGAAATATACTAAACTAAGCATTTTAACATGTGAAATGCATAGTATAAATGTTTATTTTAAATAACTAAAATTTATAATAAGTAAATACTTCTGAATGTATAAATTGTAGCATAATTAAAACTTGTAATAAATTACATATAATATTAAAATATAAAGTTAAATAAAAATATGAAAGGAAAAAAAAGTTTAAATAGAAATATTCTTTCTTCCCACCATTTTTTTACATGTCACGTGTGATTGTTTTGTTCGATTAGTCCTAACCCTAAGTTGGGGTCTTTAGTGCATGTTTAGAGAGAAAATTATTGTACCTTGATGAAGGACTCCACAAGGATACAAATGATTACACATGTGTGGTCTTTATTGTGTGTGGGACTCGAGCATCACTCTAAAGTGGAAATGAATTCCCTCCAAGAGCATGTCACATTCGTTTGCACCAACTTATTTTGTACCTTTTTTTTCATCTTATGTGATGTGATTAAGTGAAAGGCAGGTTAATAACTTGTGAGATATTAGCTTTTCTTTTATCTCACCTTTGTTCTCCAAAAACAGTTATAATCTCTTTTATGAAATACTAACTTAAACCACAGGAATTTAAATGCATTCAAAAAAAATTGAGGTTGAGAATTGAATTTTTTAGATGCATCCAAAAGTGTTAAAAATAAATTAGATTAAAAAATGCCACATTATAAGTACAGCACAGGCATAGATAGGGTAGAGAAGCAAATCGAGTATAAGGAGGTTATTGTTAAAGCTACTATTTTTTGTATCCACGTGATTGTTTTATTTGAAAACTTGATTACAGGAAATATCAAACTTTTATCTAAAATTTGTCATTTCCTAAAGACACGTGATAGCACTATGAAGACCGTCTTGATCTGGGCATCATCGTAATTCACGAGTTTTTTGGGAATAATTAATAACACGTCACATGAAATTAAACTAAATATTACAAAATCATCACATTTTTTGTTTAAATATTTCATAATCAAGTGAAGAAATTTTTTTATTTAGAGAATAAAAATAAAATGATTAAATAATTAGTATTTAATAAATTCATGATGTTTATCCCATGCTCAAGTTTAATGAAAACAAATAAAGTATTAAAATAAATTTCTTCAAATTTTATTATATCCAGTATATTGTAAATCATTCAAACATTTTTAACTGATGGTAATGGACATTGTAAAATGTAAATGATATTTTTATATTTGTATATATTTTTTCTTGATAGATATGAAAAAAAATATTTGGAATAATTTGAAGTTAGATTGTTATTAAAAGAAATCTGACTTTAATAAGTTAAAATAGGTTAACTTAATTTTCAATTTATTTCAATAAGATTCATAACTAAATTTATGACATGAATCTCATCTGCTAAATTTTATTTAATAAATACCTAAGACATTTATTCTTCTACACTTTAAATAGACAACTAGGTAATCATGAGACTTGATCACAACTTTGATACACTCAAATTTGATATAATTTGTATGAAATTTAAAATTTATTATAGATTTGAACCCTATAATTTATTATAGATAATTATTAGGGTCGACTTAGTAGTAGAAATTTAAATAAAATATATAATATCTTAAATGTAAATTTTAGTATTCTCATAATAATTTTAATGAAAAAAAATTATTATAGGTGGTAACAAAGTTAAGTCACCCTTACGCTCATAGTCAACTGCCAAAAAAGCAAAGGTTGTCTTTTTTGGGGTTTTCGAAAACGAGTTAGAACTTATAAATTTTGACCTACCTTATTTTACGGTGGGCAGAAATAATAAAAAATAAAAATAACTAAAAAAAATACATATCTTTATAACGTGAATAAAAATATAAATTAAAAAATAATAAATTTTAAAATTATCTAACAGTATAAAATAATAATGGACTTTACTTATAGCTAATTTTTTTAAGAGATCCGATTAATCATTTTTAATAAAATTTCCTTTTCTTAATCACATTTCATTCGTTTATAAGATTAGACTTGGAATCCAATTTTAATTGGAACAATCTTTGAAAACATATAATTAAATAACAAAAATTTAAAAACAATCGAACCGACATCAACCTACTTTCCCCTACCACAACTCACGAATTACATAGGACAGATAATATGGGTCGGAGGGTGTTAGCATGTGCAATCCTACTTGTATAAAACCACAACCTTGTCCCTCGAGTTAAATCTATTTTACGTACCATTCAATTTTATTTTTCCTCTCTTCTATTAAGGACAAGTTTGGTTTCAGGAAAAAATATGGGTTATTAATTTAGTTTGTTTTTAATATTTTAAAAAAAATAAAAAAATAAAAACAGTGAAATCTGAATGTCATGTTACGTTAGAAAGATAGTTCCATTATCTATCTCCATGTTACTGCGCCTTCACGCTTGTGTAGTGTCTAGGAGCATCCATGTCGGTGTGAGTAAATGTGCCTACCAAGTCCCAACTTATTCCTCTGTGTTGTCAATTGCATCCTGTGCCTTGTGCAGTTTCTGTTTTCACCATCACAAAGGAGGGAATTTAATTCGCTTCTTTGCCAATTCCATATTTCAATCATAGCAGATTTTATTTCATTTTTCTTATTCATTTCACGTGTTTCTAAATGAATCAGATCCACTGGTAGTGTTTCTATCTCTGTCACTACTCACACTAGTGGGTGTGCTCATCATTGTTCCACAATTTTTAAAAAAATTATAAAAATGGTTATGCTGAAAATTAGTTTGATAACTAGTGTGTTAAAACTTGTGCAATAAATTGATGATTTTAAAATGCTCGAAAGTCAATAATAATAATAATTATTATTATTTTGAGTTTGTAAAAACTTCACTTAGTTAATTCTTGTATAACTTTTAAAGTAATTATTATGAAATTAAATAAATTTATCATACATGACAATACATGATTGGATGATAATTTATTTAAAATGGAGAGTTTACTTTTAAAATGCTCTCCAGCCAACTAAAATCCAATCCAAAATCTCATAATGATTGTAAATTTTTCGTCAAGATGAGCTATTTGACAGAGTAAAAATGGGTAAATACCTTCTAAATTATTTTGATGCTCAAGTTAGTAGAGATTCTATAAGAGTAATGACATGTAATAAATGTTTAATTGTTACCGTGACAATAGCTGTATTTATAGGAGTACGAAATTGATCTGATTACTTAACACAAAGACTAAGATATCTCATGGACAATAATAATTCATCTTGTTGTAGCAACAAAGTAACTTTAATCTCGAACAAAGTATGATATATTGTTCACAAATGTATATTAAGATTCATGTCCTTGAGTATTTACTCTCCTCAACGCTTTCAACTTAATTGATCCGTTGTTTGGGCCAAAATGAACTTTTACATGAATTGATTGTGAAGTTAATTCGAATCGAATAACAATCTAAAAAACTTTCATACTATATTCTAATTAAATTATAATATAAAACATGAAACTAGTCTATATGAAATATTAAAAACAAAATCTTGGTAATGTCCTAATTTAGGAAGGACATTGAATACCATCTATATGACACTTGGATGGAAAAAGCAAGAAATGGAAAAAGTATACAGGAAAAAAGAAAAGACATTGATAAACTATTTGATATGAATATAATGGATTAGTTTATGGAGCAAATTTATGGGTCCCCTAGCCAAGGTAAAGTTTAGTTTGCAGAAGAAATAAAATTATTATATTCCATGCAGGAGACACCATCACTCCAATCTCCAACTACAAAACTAGCCCTGCCAGTGCCAGATTCAGGATCAAAGCTGCGCAGGATTGCCCAACAGTTCAATACTTAAATTAAATAGCCCACTTTTTTGTCCTTTTGTTTTTCATTTCTACCCAAGTCAAGGTGAAGAGGCTTCTCTTCTCGATTTCATTTTATTCTCTCGGGTCATAGAAATTATTTGAATATAATTTTAAGTAAAAATTCATATATTTAATTACATAATAAAGAGTTGATCAATATTGATTGAGTTTAAATAGATTTAATTAATTTTTATGTTGGATAAAAAAATTCATGCAAAAGCTTGCAACTAATTTTATTTTTAGAATAAAAACATTTAAACATAAATCACTTCACTTTAAAATTACTTTCAATAAAAAATTAATTTACAAAATCAACAGAATTCAGAAACAATCATGCAAAGGCGTAGCAACGTACAGGGTCAAGTTTCATTATTTTTCTCTTACTATTGAAATACCGGGGCACAACATGCATGGATAGCCATCACTCTCAAATACCAAACAGATTCACATTACGTGCCCAAACTTATTGCTTTGTCGAGTTGTTTGCTTCTTGGTATTGTTCAAAAGAAGCAAAAAGGACACACCCTTGTATTATTGTTATTCTGCTTTTTCAAACTTCGTTTATAGAGTGACAAAGAAAGAACATGAACCAAGGAAACACCCAACTCTTTCTTTCTTGTGCTTTTCTCTTCTTTTTATGCCTTATTCACTGCAAAAGTGAAAACACCCATTTGAATGGAGAGAGAGACTGAGACAGAGGGGTCCTCTGTGGAACTTTTCTTTCTTGCTCAACAGGCAAACCATCTCTTTTTGATCTCGCCAACCAAAAATGTATGTTCATTCAATTCAATTCCATTATCCATCTTTGACTGTCTCTGTACAGTTATTTCACCCCCCCACCCTGGTCAAATATGAATCCCTCCATATGCATACATACCCATTTTTCTATTCCCTATACCCTTCTCTCCAACACCACAACCACAACAAAAGTCATCAAAAAATAATATCTCATCACATGCCCTACGACGCATTAGATGTACAACTATTGTCACAATCTCTCTTCCCTCAATATAAAATAAAAAAGCATCCCCTGCCGTGTTTGTCCAGATCATCCACCAGTTTTCACCGTTCATTCCATTTGCAATGGCTATGAGAAAAATTTAGCCATCAACCAAAGCCTCCTTTCCGAGACTTGTATTTAATTTTAAAACCAACATCTTTGTTCAAACTTTATATCACCAACGTTTGCAGCAGCATTCACTGACATATCCTGATGTCAAGGTGTCACCAAGCCAAAGTTGGTCCCGTTTCAATTCCAATTGTCTCTCTCCAAGTATTATTATATCTATCATTTGTCCTCCACAAAGATTCTGTGTATGAAATCCCTAAACCTTTTGGAATATAGCTTGGGATCAACGGCTGAGATGGAGGAGGGATCCACTTGCAGTGACTTGTATGCATGCTCTAGCTTTTTACTAATATCGTAATCTTGGAGAATGTCAATTATACCAAAGTAGAGGATTACATCAGAGACCTCCCCACCACTCTCTGAAGGGGTAGAATTGCTACTTCCAGTACCAGTGTGCTGATCCAATCCAGCTTTACACATTCTCTCAGCTCTGCCAGGCATGTTTGCTCCCAGTCGAATTAGAGGTCCCCTGGAATATTTGTGGATAAATTAGAACTCAAATCAAATATTTACATGATTAGGAAATAAACCAACCATCAGGAAGATAGTCCAAAAATTAGTTTATAACTTTTACATTATTTTAGTTGATAAGGAAAATTGTAGTTATTAGTTTCCTCATCTGACTAGACTATCTTAAAAGGGGAAAGCCTGTAACTAAAGTTTAGAAACTAAAAAATGTGTAAATTATTAATTAATAAACGATGACAATAATTATAAGATGCTTCGAGTCCTAGCAACTACCACTGTATTATCAATATCGCAGTCAAGACTCAACTAAAAATTAGCTTTGGAAAGAAGGTTTTGCCCTTCTCAGAAAAATCAAATGACCCCACCAGTATTTGTTTTCAATAAAACTGCCTCCAATTTTGCCATGATAACTCAAGTCATTTGCGGTCCAACAGAATCGTATTCCAAAAAGGAGAAAACTAGCAAGTCACCCACTCCTAAATCTCAAACGGAGGGCTAGAGAATGACAAATATAATGCTCACTAATTTGCCATTGCTTTATTTCTACATGACTTGTGGCCATATGGCTGCTCTTAGCTATTTGCATGCGTATGGGCCATTGACAATTTAAGACAGGAGCATTTTGCTTCTGTTTGTTTTATAAATGGGTCCAGACAGACCAAGGCTCAAGAACATGGCACATGTATGCAAATAAATCATAGAAGTGAAAGTTATGGCTACCAATGGGTGCAAGTGTCAAGAGATCAATAATAAAAGGTATATCCCCACTAAACCACCTGATCATAAAATATAGCAACTTAGAATGGTCCATCATTACCCGAATCCAAATTCCCTCAATTGACTTGATTTCTTCAAGAATCGGAATTCACATAACAGCTCAAGCTGATAATAGAACTGCACAAAGATATCTAAAATCCCCAACATTGTCCTTTTTTGAAAATATAAATGAATATTTAAAGGGGGACAATCAATTTCTGTTCATTTCCATAACTTCATAGCAATTTATTCATCATGTTGAAACAACAAAAACGGTCAGATACTGTGGATAAAGAGTAAAGGGCATACCGACCAATGGGTGGTATCCACTTCATATCCTGTATGTCATCATTTTGCAAGTCTCTCTTGCCTGCCAAACCCAAAATCCCACAGGATTTTTTTTTATCTCTCTGGATCCAATCAATTAATTCAAATGAAAGGAAACACAGAACTAGGAGGAAGTAAGAAGACATATACCTGAACACAACTCGTTTGGTGAACTCTTTCCGTCATCAACTGAGCTATCATCACGAAAATGAAGGCCAATCAAAAAACTGTAATCCATTATTCCCTCTGCTTCCAGGAATTCACAGTCTCTATCAAGTTGCCTGAGCAGAAATCATTACAAAAGGCCAACTCTTAGAACATCACAGCAAAATGGTCAAAGTAAAAGCAATATGTAATTTAGCAGCACAAACTGTACCATTTAAGCTCCTGAAACCAAGACTGTTCCAGGCGGAAGACAAAACAAAGATCAAGGTCTTTAAGAGTGGTAGTCTCGTCAATCTGCTCCCGGGGTTTATCAGTTGTGCGACCATGAGAAGAACCTTTGAGGTCAAACCGCTTATGGATCCGATACTCCGAACAAAACACATTGCCCATCACAATAAATCGAGTCTGTTTTTTCATAGCATTATTTACGAGCAATTCATACACAGCATCACCAGTTGGCAGCAAAATTTAAATTTAGAAAGTTCATTCATATATACATAGAAACATACCTTCTGACCTCCAATAGGTTTGACACAATGAACTCCCAGAAATTTCGTCACCAGGGAATTCTTGTACTGACAAACATGTTGATAGTAACTTGGAAGCATCCTGATGAGCACCTGACATGGCCTCCAACTAATTATTGAACACCCTCAGAAAAAAAAAAAAAAGAAGGACGGTGGCCAAGAAGTGAAAGTGAGACCTCACCTTACTAAATATAGGTCTACAGCTTTCTCATCAAAATTAATGCATCTTAAAGTCTAGTAGAGACTATCGACTAACCTTGACCTCAGACTTCTTCAAGGTCTTGATAATGAACCGGTCATCTTGAGTGAGGTAAAAGAAGCTTCCACTTTTACCCGGAGAAGACATCTCCCTCAGTGTGTCATCGCCGCAAATAGCAAGCATGTAATCCGCAGGATCTATCCCAAACAATTCCCTTAGATGTCTAAACAAACAAATACCCCTAGTTAGTATATAGTATACACAGTATACACAACCAATCAAAATAAGAAAGTATTGAATATTGAGGAACTGTATCTCCAGAAGCACTTCTATGTGAAAAAAAAAAAAAAAACTGCCAAAAGCTTTTTCTTTATGTTAAAATTAATTTATGTATAAGCTAAAAAATAGATCAAAAAACTTCTACAAAATAACTAATACATAAACTAATTTTAGCTTATAGAAAAGTTTATTATATTTTTTCTCTTAAAAATGCTTCTCTCATTTCATATGGATACCTGAACACCATGGGACAGTAATCTTTCCACCTGAAGTCCACTGACTGATGTGGCGGTGTAAACTTAGAACCCTCCGGTGGGAATCTCGTCCAGAATTTCTCCTTGGGATCGAAATCCCCAGGCCTAAGCTCTGTCAAAACCGAAGCATGCTTCCCAACAGTGTACCTAAACAAATCAAAGTTAGCAATGCGATCACCAATAAACCTTAAATCAAAGATCTTAGTATTCGATTCCCACAAGTAAAAAAGAAAAACGTAGCAATGTAGATAACATAAGATATAACAATAACATGAAGATACACACCTAATACCCAGTTGAAGATTAAGCATCAAATCATAATTCTTATGCCCCTTGGAAACAGCATGACCAGGCTTCTTCTTAGCATCCCCATCAACAGAGCCACAAGGACTCTTGTTGAAGCGCACATCATCAGTCTCACTCTCACACCCTCCGCCACCGCAAAACACAGAAGCTTCAACAATGTCGCAAGTAATATCCCCAGCCTCACCATCAAGCTCCCAAATACAAATCCTGGGAAAACTCACAGTGACACTCTTGTTAGAAGCATCATCCACCGACACTCTTTTCTCGATGACAAACTCCTTCCCCCAATTCCCATTGGAAACGCTCCCATCGCGCCACGTGAACGTTCCCTTGCCCTTGGGAACCCCGTTCTCCCAAAACCCTTGGTAACGGTTCCCGTTCCTCCACACCAGCACGCCCTTACCAGATATACAACCATTCCTCCACTCACCAAAATACTCATTACCGTTCCTCCACGTGTACCTTCCTTCCCCCTCTTGCAAATTGCACTTCCACCAACCTTCGTAAACGTCGCCGTTCGCGTAGCGCTTCTGGCCGAAGCCCTCCTTCCGGTCGGAGAGCCAGGCGCCGTGGTAGGTGTCGCCGTTGGCGCCGACGAAGGTGCCGTGGCCGTGCATCTTGCCGGCGGCGAAGTCGCCCTCGTAGGTGGCGCCGGAGGGCCAGGAGAAGCGGCCCTTGCCGGAGGCCTTGCCGCGGCGCCACTCCCCCTCGTACATGCAGCCGTCGGACCAGAGGTACTTGCCGGCGCCGTGCGGGGCGTTGGCGCAGAGGGTGCCGCAGTAGAGGTCGCCGTTGGGGAGGGAGCGCTCCACCGCGCCCGGAGACACGCGGCGCGGGGGGCGGCGGCAGGGCGGCGGCGGAGCGTCCTTGTCGTCGGAGAGAGTGCGCAGCGTGTCTTGCATTCTTCGTGCGTTGGTTGGTTTACATGTTTCGAAAGCCGTTGGGATTGGGTAACGGTAATAAGGCTTTGTAAATTGTAATGGAAGAGAAGTAAGAGTGCTTTGGGAAAAGAGAATAAAAAACAGAGAGAGAGAGAGAGAGAGAAACTAGTTATGGTTATGATTATGGTTATGGTTATGGTTAGGGATCCAAATGTGAATGCATAATGAGATGTTAATCAATGGTATGTTCTTTATTTACCTACTATTGCTATGGTTTTATTTGCTTTTACGGTAAGACGCTGGCTTTTTTTTTTTTTTTTTTTTTTCTAGGTACAACAGACATTTTCTTCATTTCCATGAAGTCAAAACTCCAGAGCCCAAGAGGTCCAATTTAAGATGCATTGTCAAAGTCAAGGACGGAGCCAAGGGGGGACCTACGGGTGCCACGGTCCCCCAACAATTTTAATTTTTTTTTATATACATATATATTACTATATGGCACCCCCTATTTTTAATATAAACTCATATTTTTAATATAAACTCATATGTATATTACTATATGGCACCCCCTATATGGCACCCCCAGTATTGAAATCCTGGCTCCGTCCCTGGTCAAAGTCGTCTTTAATGTAATATTATTAGCAAAATTAAAAAAAATTGTTCAGCTTTAATATTAATTGTTGAATTAGAAATAGTTGGCGTCACGTTTAATCCCACCCACCCATACATTGTTTATGAAATATGGTGATCGCGTGATGGGATGGATGGTGCTCGGTTCAACTTTGATCTTTGCCTTAGTGAATGTGATCAACAAAAATCATTTCAGATATCAAATTTCAAGAAACAAAATCAACGTTGTGTATATTTAAATAATTTTTTTCAGAAGTATTTGCAATATTTAGATATAAATAAAGTGTTACGTTATTAGAAAGGAAGAAAAAAATATGAGCTTATAAATGGTATAAGATTTTTTCAAGTGAACCAAGAATGAAATACGAAACTACGTTTCGTGACTTTGCGTCACACTATGAACCCTATATGCAACATTTACTATGGGATGAACAAAAAGTGTGATTGTGCAGCAGTGTATCACACGAAAATGCATGCACGATTCGTAACTTTACGCGTTCAATGACTCCGAATTTAAGATCGACGTGTTCGTAAATGGTAAATCATAAATCATTTGATTTTTCATGCATGTTAGGAGCAATTTTTCTTTGCCATAAAATGTTGTGGTCAACAATTTGCGGGTGCAAAAATTGCTCCTAATTCAAGCTCAATGCAAGAGTTTGACCTCGAATTTTAAATGCGTTTTTAATACAACAAATCACAATTCAGTTGACCTTCTATTTCTGAACTTGCAATCTGCAAGAGCCAAATGACCTCTAATAGAAATATATTCAATAAAAATAGCTATATACTTGTTTCCAACAAATTTTTTAATTAATTATGTGTATGTTTAGATGCTCATTAGAAGAGTTTTAAAATACTTTTATTTTTAAAGTAATAATTTTTTGTTTCTTCATTTTGTACCTGCAATTTGGAAATGTGTATAGAGAAAAAGGAAAAGGTAGTGTGTTACATGACGTTGGTTTCATTTGAATGTGTGATCATTGTCGGCTGAAAAATTAAAATAAAACATGTCTCATGCTTCCATATTTTGTGGCAATGATTTCTGGGCCACAACACAAGGTGTCCTCAATTTCAAGAAACCAAATTATCAACCAAACAAGAAGGAATATACATTGTCATTTTACTTTGTAAACCCCAAAAAATTAAAATAATAGTATCAAATAAGCACTTTTTTACTTAATCAATCACTTGGATCGGAA